TTCAGAAACAAGTAGGTTGCCTGACAGAGAAAGGTGTTCTGAGCGAGATGCTTTATTTTAACAGTGGTTTCGTGATGGGAGGTATGAATCCTTTATCATGAGGGATTGTGCTGTAATTTAGGTGGTGAGACGAGCGTGTGATAACAGAGGAATAGCGAATAAGCCGGGGATGGCGTAGTGGTTCTATGCATCTGATTTTGGTCAGACATCAGAAGGTTCGATTCCTTCCCCCGGCACGGTGTCTTCGGTTTCAAGATACGGTATCGGAAGAATAAACAAAAGGAAGAACAGCAATGCACGCCAACCTCGTCATCACTGCCTCGATTTCGATTTTCGTTCTGTTCGTTTTCGCTTCCTTGTCATTCTTTTTCTGTGTGTTATCGTAGTCTTGTCTGTTGATTACTATGTTTCGTAAGCGTACGCAAAAACTTATACAAAAATGACAAAAAAATCTTTGGTTGTCCCGAATAAAATTACTCATAATTAAAAAAAAAAAAAAAAAATAGCGAATGTGGCCAGTTGAATGCAGTGGACGGGAAGATATTTGAAAGGGGAGGCGTAAGCGGAGAATAAATATGAGAGAGCGCGTGAAATGCATGCACTGATGTTATTTCAGAGAGAGAAAAAGAGAAATGAACTGATGAATTTTATGAGAGATTCAGAGAGAATATATTTCAGATGGAGAGTGATTCAGAGAATTTCTTTTAGTGATAAAGAATGAAGAGAGAGATTATAAGTTGTATGCGTTTCATTGTTTATTCTTTCATTTCGCATAAAATGAATTCGAAGAAGTTTTGTGCGTGCGCCTGTTGTGGTGATCGCCTTACTGCGAGCTGTCGACGCTCTCTGAAGGGAAAATGTATTCGACTTTTTGTTGCTGCACGTTTGTTCCCAACTTCTCTGCCGACTGATGGCTACATTTGTACGAAGTGCCGTTTTATGTTTAATCAATGGACAGCTCTACCAGAATTCTGCGATGTGCTGACCACCATCAACAATAGCCATCAAGCAGCAAATGCCGTCACTGATGTTGTCAGAGACGAAGATGAAGACAATGGCACTGATCAGCTGATTGATGACACATCAAGTGTGGCCGATTCGATGGACGATGGATCTATTCGTGTTCAAACAGCGAATGCATCATCCAGTGATAGCGAATCGATCTATGATTCAGCTGTCACTAGTGATCAAGTGGACGATGCAGAAATTAATTCGGATGAAAGTAGTGAAGCAGTAAGTGCAGCTGGATATATTTTATCTTTATTTAGTCTAACTTTCTAGATGGATACAATCCCCTCAGATGAAAATATCGATGAACAAGGTATCGAAATTCCAATTGAAGTTTCGGTCTTTTTAAAAAGGTAGATGCTTAGGATGCAGACAATCAAGTACTTTTCGTTTTTTAGTCAATGTTGTGTTTGCAAAAAACAAATTGTACCTCCAACGGTGACTATTCTCGAAGCAGATCGCACTGAATTGTTCATTCGACGCCACATCGAAATACCTGCAGGATCTCGATGCTGCACGCTACACACTGTGGGTAAACGCCTGATACCTGAAGCGTTCCAGTCTCTGGTACCACGCAAAGCGCAATATCGACGTTTTTCTCCACAAACGCTTATAAACCTCCTTAAATCGTATCGTACACGACTCAACAGTAACAAGCACCTTGATTTTGACGAATGCATGTGCTTGACAGATGCTGATTACATCAAACTGACTGGATTTACTCGAGCTCAGCATATTTTAGTGGATGTTTTACGATCATTTTGTAGCTTTTGAAAAGCTCCATTTGTAGAGAAAAAATGGCGATGGTATCTGGTTCAGTACTCGAGATCGTAAACACCACACTTTGCCTTGCATTGGGCATTCCATAGAATTTCGATAGTATGTTGTTTAGGAATTCTCGAGCACAGCATATTTTAGTGGATGTTTTACGATCATTTTGTAGCTTTTGAAAAGCTCTATCTGCTGGCTATGAGCGGGTCTGTGTAATGTGTTGCTAGCTGCTACAACAGTCGCGGTAGTGTATGTTTTATTGTAGACATCTACTGTTTGTAGACAGAGAGTAAAACCGTTTGAAAATGTCTTGTAAAAGCTCAGAAACGTGTACTCACACACTGTACAGCTTGAAATCGTAGTTAGAACTGATTTTGAACTGATTTTCATTTAGGGCCATTTTGTGTACAAAGTGTCCCCCCTCCTTTGTTCTACAAATGTGGTAGTTAAGTTTATTTTTTTGTTCTGAAAAAAATATCTAATTGTTGTTTTTCTATCAGCCACTATTTTGAAAAACCGATTTTTTGATCAAAATTTGATTTGGGTAGACATAGCTTCTCCAAAAACAGTTGTAGCGTCACTTGTGTAAAAGCTACATTTTAATGCGACATAATATTTTGTAAAGAATTGTTCGCTCTGCAAAATTACCAAATTGAATCATTCTTAGCATCTATGCAAAGAGGCACATGGCTGTCACAAATGCCTGCTTGTTCACCACTCACACTAATTTTTCAGGATGTTCAAAAGATTCTTTCACTATGCGAAGACAAAATTATGTACACAATTTCTGAGACCATATCCGAAAAGAGCACAAAATTCTGGTCCTAATTCCTAATTCCTAGTTTTTCTCTCGTCTATAATACTTTTAAGAGAGTCAAAAATGGGCAAACATGTTATCCAAAAACTTTTCGATCATACGTTACTTGTTGTGCTTTGTCCGCCGTAGTGGACTTATTCGATGAATGTCCACTACCCCAATACCGTGCTAGTTCTTTGCAAGATGAATATTGCCCAACGTATATAAACAGAAAAATGCTTGAATTTATAATTAATTTACTTTCTTTCAATTCTCAATGCGATTTCGTAGAAAATGAGTAAATATCTACATGATTTCTCACTCACACAATCTTTTCTTCTTTTCACATTCTCATCGCTATAAAAATACGTTGTTCTTTTGAAGAAAAGGTGTGAACACGTGGAACGAAGAAACTCTCCAAACTCCCATTCTTTCTTTTACAGAGTGGAATTTTTAGTGTATGGATGAGGATGTGATTAAGGGTAAAGAAAAGAAAACTGCATCGATACCCTTACCCGGTGAAGTAGAAAGATTTGTGCAAATATGCATAACTAATGTATGATGTATTTCTTTTCTTTCGAAAGAACTGATCAAAGGCGAAAAATAAGTATTTCGCAAGAACTGAGTCATGACATACAGATGATTGCAATATAAATACTGTGTTTCTTTCATACTTGTGATTATCTTCTTCGATTTAAAAAATGAATCGAAAGCAACAACGCATCACTTATGGCAATAATCGTAAAGGGAAAAGTAAGAAGCTATATAAAACGTAAAATGTTTTTCTTCTTAAGAAAATTCTTTTAGGGATCGAAAAAACAACACGAAGGTAAGACAAGTAGGACGAATCGAGAGTCGATTCGCTCGGCCCTAGACTGACGGATACGTTTGCGATATATGATTATATCTTTTCACATATTCCCTAGACTGAAAGGCTAGGGTCTAGAAACCGTAATTCACCTGTGTCTGTCTGTCTGTCTGTAACAATGGCAGAAATTACCATTTTTGTGGCAGAAATTACCATTTTTATGGCAGAAATGACCATTTTTGTGGCAGGAATGACCATTTCTATGGCAGAAATGACCATTTTTGTAGAAGAAATGACCATTTCTATGGCAGAAATGACCATTTCTATGACACAAATGACCATTTCTATGGCAACTAGGGCATTGTTACGGCGCAAACCATGGGCGGCTGGATGACATGGTCACGGGAAACAGTCCGCTCTGGATATGTCTTGAGTAGAGGGGTGAGCTGATCCCCCTACGGAACTTTGAGCTAACCATCACGATATTTCTGAACCTTGTGTTTTTGTAGCTAGGTAAGACTCAGGCTCTCCGCCGCCTTACGGGTGTTTGAGTCCCATTCTGTCCGTGTTTCCTCTTCACGTTTAGTGCTTTTACTTGAAACCTTTAATTTTCGTCTAATTCTTCCTTCGGTTTCACTTACTCGCACCCTCGTTTACAGGTCTGTTTAAAAATATGACCACCAGCTGCTGGCACAAACAACCGATTTTCTGTCCTGTCCGTGCATTTCTTCTCCTCAGCACTGCCAGTCTAGGGCCCAGGGAATCGACTTTCGATTTCGATGAACGTTACTTGTAGAGATTAAGGAGCTGATCTATATAAACGTCTGCGCCAGCACTATACTAATTTTTTTTTCTGTAGCGTTCATGTTTTCTATCATCATCAAGCGCATGTGTGGTACTTTGTACCATGAGTGTGGTACTTTGTACCATGAGTGTGGTACTTTGTACTATGACTATGGTCATTTGTACCAAGCGTTACAGACAGACAGACCGACAGACACAGGTGAATTTCCGTTTCTAGACCCTAGCCTTTCAGTCTAGGGAATAGATAATCTATTAAATGTAATTATTATTTTGATATCTTAATTAGATTGTTCGATACTTGTTTTGAAGATCTTCCAAATGAAATATTTTATGAGATATGGGAATATCTAGACGGGTGTGAGATATATGACATTTTTTTAAATCTTAATGCACGTTTTCAATATCTTGTTAATCATTCGTTGGTTCCATTGAAATTGCATTTTTCTTCGATGAGGGAAGATGTTCTACAATATCGAATCAGAGAAATTCTTCAACCTAATCTGTATCGAATCATTTCCCTTCGTGTATCAGACTCCACCATCATCAATCGTTTCATTACATTATTTTCCATCGATTCACGGTTCACGAAACTGGAACGCATTGCTCTGAATGGTATCAAATCAGATGCTTTCGTATCATTACTTGAAAAATTCATTTCGTTGCCTTGCCTCTTCTATCTTTCTGCTCATGTCATCGAAAAAGATCAATCAAATCGTCATCAAATCTCAAAACTGATTTCTTGTATGCCACTTTTAAAATATTCCAAACTATCATACGAATCTTCACCAACGACGTCTCGATACACTTCATCTTATTGGTATAAAGATTTATTGAGAATACATTTGTTTCGAAAATGGGGCAGATTAATTTTAAGAAGAAACTGGGGCAATGAGCAACCTTGGGATGATCTGTCCTCACAAGACCCTGACTATGAGGATTGCTGTACAACTTTAAGTGTATATAGGCTCGATTGGAAACCGTTTGAGCTTTTTCTTCAACATGGTTCTAATGAACTCGAATATTATCTTGATATAAGAGACTTGTGGGTGACATCGAGAGATTATTCTTATTTGAATGCTAATCGATGGAAGCAAATTATTCATCTCATGCCACGATTAGTTGAATTTCATATAAATGCGAAAACTACAAAGAACCAAACCGTTACTTGTTGTAGGTTTATCGAAGGATTTCAATCTCCATTTTGGATCGAACAAGGATGGATTATCAACCATTTTCATCATAAATTGAGCCGTGGTTCTCGTCTGATTTTTAATTGTATTAAACATGATCTTAAAACAAAATGCTAATTTGAAAATAAATAAGAGTATTCGATTTTGAATCGATTTATCCTTCAATGTGTGCGTGTCATGGCTGACATTACAACCACTCGAACATGACGTTACGAAAGGAGGGTGGGGGTGAGTAGGAAGCTACCACAATGCGTTTCGACTCAGCTACGAGCCTCATCAGGTGGCTTAGTATCTCTAAGTCGATCAAGAAAATTTTGAACAAAATTCAAAAGTTTGAGATTATACGATGATGAAATTTGTTTTTGTTGTGTTTGAAATATGGAAATTGTAGTTTTTTTGTTCAATCAGTGGTATCGTCGATGGTTGTTGCGGTAGAGAAGAATTTTGCTCTTATCTGGAATAAAGTTAAAAAAACAAAAATGAACTTGAAAAACGATGCAATAGTGGTTTAAGAGAATGATATAATAAGAAAAATTTTAAACTACGAAGAAAAGAAGGAAGGGAATGATGATTTGGGTCAGGGTTGGAAGCGAAGCAATAGTCCTGCTAATGGAACATTTTTTTGAGTTTTGTTGTAGTTTATGATTTATTTGTGAAAGGTCAATGTTAGTCGAAGCGGATTGATTGAAGATCTCGTCAGTATTAATGGATATAGCTCAATAGGCATATCCTCGTCGGTTAGCTTTTTACTTGATTGTATCTGAAAACAAAGGAGAATGAGTTGTTGAAAATATTATAGAATCAATTGAATAATCTTACTTGGAATATGTATCGGTTTCAAGAAGGATGTTAGTGGTCGCCTTTGTATTAGTTCATGGCCAATATTACGATGATTTCGATGTCCAACAATCAATCGAATGTCCATAGCTGGTGTAGCATGGAATGTTTCTGAATAAATCTGATGAATATCATATTTTAAGCTGTTCAATCGTTTTTCATGTGTATAATGAAGAAACAGTGTATTTGTAAATTTATTTGGTTTCTTTTGTTTTTATATTGTTGTTAGTGTTGTCGTTTTTTCTCTTGTATAAGCATCATTAGTCGATTCATCTAAGAGAACTTTAGCTATTCTATGTTGCGTCTCGTGTTCTCTGGCAGACGGTGAGGGTGAGGGTGAAAACAGCTACCAAGACCGGTTTCGTCCTTGCTTAAGGGACTCTTCAGTTGGCAATTAATCTATATGATTATGAAATGAATCACAAGATCAAACTATAACTGTTATACATATATTTCCGAAGAAGATCTATGTATAATGATAGTCTCTATTCTCAGAGGTGAGAACAGCTACCAAGATCTATATATTTATCTTGTAGAATGTTGATCAGCATTGGATGAATTTGTGCTGTGGAAATTTAAATACTATCTAGAACAGAACGAAAAGAACACAAGTAGTAATAGGAAAACTGAGAAGTAACACAGAGGGAAAATTAAATATTGAAGGATGGAAAGTTTTTTTTTTTGAATTAAACAAATAAAGAAAGGATGAGGGATAAAAATGGAAAAATATTATATCTTAAGAGAAATGTCTGTATTTTTAAATAGTTTGATTGTGTAGTAATGACCATGATGATGTTTATTTTGGTTGATGAGATATTGGACGCGTTTGCTGTAATCGTTTGGTCTTTTTCTTTATTTGTCCTATCAAATGAAAAATAATTAATGGAACAGAAGTTGTTGATGCACTACAGATTTATGCTTGTATTTTGTGGAACTCACATATATTTTCGAAGAAAATGGTGAGTGTAAGTTTAAAAGCGAGATTTTTGCGGCTCCCCCCCCCACTACAGACATTAATGAGT